ATGAAATAATAAATAATTTTGCTATGTCTCAAAGGCATATATCTTTATTATAATATTCAAATGAAAAAACGTATTTACCTGTATTATATATTTATTTTTCAATATTAATAATTATTGATTAATCAGGTAGTATTATGAATGCATGAATGGTGTTATGAGGGGGGTGGGGGGGCGAAGCCCCCACGGGTTACTTTGGTCCACATAAATCTAGCACCCCCATAAATTTAGCCCAAATTGCGCCTATGCTTGGGCCGTAAACTAGATTTGTTCCATTTTATTTAGACGATAATTATTTAAATATAGTAGGTAATATAATATATATACATATAATATAATATGTATTCAAATAATGCCCTATTCTACCTATACGGCAATTGTCGACCCAGTGCAGGTGGTATAGAGGTAATTTTAGACAATTCATAGTGATTTTAAAGGTGGCTCTAATCCATTATAATATACTTAACCAGTGCCGGCTTGGCCATTGCCCCTAGTCCCCTGCGTTTTTTTAGAGTCTCGTAAATTTTTTATATGCTTGGCGTGTGCCTCGTCCTTATAGAGAGTAAAGACCCCATAAGGTATTTAGGTATCGATATTTTTAAATGTACGCATTTTTTCTTTACAGGGCACAGATACTTTCCTATTATAGTGTGAGCACTGAGCAGGGCACTTATAGTAGTACAATTATTAGTGTCAAGTAATAAGTGTGAGGAAGTTTTTTTTGAATTAATTGCGCTACTGCAAGTCAAGTTAGGTTTTTTATTTCTCCTTAAAAACAATGGGCTCAGACGAGGCCACGAGGCGAGGGCCCCCTCATTCGACCCTGCAGCGATCCGCTGTTGGATTCAGTTAGTGGTCATGAAAATGTTGCATGCAAAAAATATGTATTACCTATTTATAATACTATAGTGCGTATAGTGTATACTATATACGTCTACTTATACCTGTTACCTATAGGTACCTACATAAATATAATTATAAAACAATGATGAAGATTGGACATTTACCTATAAAAGTTTACTTGAATAATATGATAATTATAGCTTATGAATTTGTATTCAAAGTTAAAATTCTATAGGTAATATAAAAATAATTTTGTTTTTCGTAATTTCGTTTCTGTGTAATTAATAATAATTATTTATTATTTCGCAGTTTCAAATATTTCAAAAATGTCATAGCTTATTATTAAACGAATGATTCCCCCCGTCAGGTTTCGCGTTAATATTATACAGAGTGATTTTTTAAGCTTGGTCACACTATTTTTTTACTTAAATTGTAAGTATGTGCAAGGCCGGATTAAGAACCTATTGGGCCCCGGGGCTGAAATTTCATATGGGCCTTTTTGACAAAAAATGCTCTACGCTCGCGGGAACATACATTTTTGATTTTTCTAACTATTTCTCAAATTGACAATTGCATTATAAAATTATAAAATTGATAGGTAAATGTAATTTAAGTCTATAAATCTACTCATTTTATTGTAGTACCTATAGTAAAAGTTAATACTTTATAAAATGAAATATTATTTCATAATTTTAAATTCAAATTGTCATAATAACTTTTAAATTTATTAACAGTATGTCAGTATAATACTCATTTACAACAAATATCAAACAAAAACCATTTTATCAAATAATTGTTTTTTCTTGCTTTACTTAAAGCCAACTCTCTTAGTAGTTAGTACTTCATTTAAGTCTAATGATTTTAACAAGTCATTCTCAGAATATAAAATCATTTGTATGCGTAAGTTTTCTTGGGTTTAACTGATTATATACTTATTTTTTACTCTGGTTAATTTAGAAAAAGCTCTCTCCGTACATAAAGAACATTATTAACTATTGATGATATTATTGATATCAATTAAAATATTACATAACAGTAAAATGCGCATTTTCTATATTTTTCATCTTCATTTACCTACTTTTATAAGTATTTACTGTTTAGTTGTTTTTGTCGATAAAAAAAATGGTTTTTAAAATATAGAAAAATGTCTCTTTAAAATCACTAAAAACTATGTATCAGCTTAAAATTGTTTGGGCCCCTTTAATTTTAGTACTTAAGAGAGCCCCGGGGTTTATATTATTAAGCAGATTTTCTTTTTTGAGAACTTTGACGCATATAAATCAAAATTCAAACTAGTAGTATTTGAGTTATAGATATACCTTTGTGTACTGAGGATAATATGTATATGGAAATTAGCCAAGTAGATTTGGGGGCTTAGATGATTTGAAAATGTTAGTAGTTAGTTGTTAGTAGGTACTAATTACCATTGATCTATCAAGCATAGGCGTGCGCAGACTTTTTTCGCAGGGTATGCCAGTGTTTTTAAATATACCTAGGTTCAGTGGCGTACGCAGGATTTTTCAATGGGGGGGGGGGGGGGCTTGAAAATTAGTTACAATTTTATTTTTATTTTGTCCAGTCTTATAATTTCAGACGTTTATTTGAGGTATTTTAAAATGTTTATAACTTTTCAACTTTTTTGGTAGAAAAAATGCTCTGATCATAAGTTTCGATGCACAGTGTATGTTTTTGGAAGCAAATTGGATCTAGTTGGTACTTTTAGGGGGTCAAAATTGAATGCTCAGTGCTTTCTAAAATAATTCGAAAAAAAAATGAAAATTTATTAAAATTATTTGGTAACCAGCTTCGTTATACCGTCCTCACTTGGATTGTATTTGATTAACTAAATTTTTTTTTCTATAAATGTCTATAAAAAATTGATTTATTCGGTCAAAAAGCTTAAAAATGTAATACATAAGTTTTTATTATAGAAAAATATTAACAATACATAGGCATCATGGTTATGTTCAAATTTCGTCAAAACTACAGTTAATTTGTAGGTAGTTCAAAACTTATAAAATATGAAATGTGTATTATAGCTAACAAGCTAAGGCTAGACAATTTAATACAATTAATTCATACTTTTACCAAAAAATTACAGATAATTTATGAATATTGGTATGCAAATAGGTACATTGTTTTTTCAAAAATGAATTCATTCTGGTAAGACATAATATATGAAATTTATGTTTTGCTTACCTACTATAGTTGACAGTAAAAACTTGATAAATACTTTTTTTTAAAGTAATAATAATAAGGGCAATGGGGGGCTTCAGCCCATTAGCAACCCCCCCTGCGGACGCCACTGTCTATAACAATAAAAAAATAACTCCCCAAAAACTCTTAATAGGTACGAATAACTTGCCATATAATGCGAAAAGAAATTAACGTGCATTTTATTTAGCTTATTTATTGGTTTTAGATATTTTAATTTGAAATTCTTGTACTGTGATTTCATAATTCCAATAAAGTAACAGTATAAAAACCTGCAGGCATTTGATCAAATTATAATAATGACAAAAAATGATAATCTAACTAATCGAATTAATTTTATTTTTGATAGTATTGTATAATGTAGTATGAAAATAAGTAATACTGCAAGGGCCTGAATTTTCTGGTGACAAAACCAGCAATTTTCACGGTTGATTTTGATTTCAACTATATTGTTATGAGTTAGCAATATATTTTATTATTTTTAGGTACCTGTAGTAATTATGAAAATATAATTATGAAATCTAATTAATATTTTATTTTGTCTGAATTCCGAATATTTTATTATTAAGAAAATAGGATAAAAAAAATAATCAAAATATTTAAATTCTTGAACTGAGATACTATAGTCTATAAACTATCAATTAGTTCATGATTCTAATTTATAATCAAAACATTTACAACTAAAAACTATATAGGTTGTGCTAACTCTACAGGGGATGCCATGGCATATCCGGCATCCCTCCTGCGCACGGCTATGCTATCAAGATAAATAATTTGTAAAATTAAATTCTCATTTGAAAAATTTAAGTTTGTATAGCCACAAGACACTCTTTAATAGTAGTACCTACAAAAAATATCAGGAATTTGAATATATATGGTCTTTAGGTATACACAATAATTCTAAAAATCAGAATTTGAATAAATGTATTTTTAAAGGAAAACATTTGGTGAGCATTTTTTCACCAAAATGTCAAGTAAATTTTGTATTCCATTATGGGGCCCCTTAAAAAACTGATCGTATGGGCCTTTGGTGTCCCAGGCCGACACTGTACTTAACCATCTAGGTAATATATATATATATATAAACATATATATTGTAATTTTAGGGTATAAGACATTTTTAACATAATAATATACAATATTTATTTTATTTTTAATATAATATTATATATATAATTTATAAAAAAATATAATAATTCTTTTAAATTATTTGTACATAGTCAATCCCCGGTATAATGCTAACGGGGATTTTTTTTCCCCAATTCTTGCGACACTGATCGTACCTACAATATTCGTACAAAATACAAATGGCTTAAATCATTGTATGCGTACGATAACTATCGTACCATTGTCCAATCCGTTATTACGAGTTATCCAATCCATTATTACCAGTTGTCGAATCCGTTATTACGAGTTATCCAATCCGTTATTACCAGTTGTCCAATCCGTTATTACGAGTTATCCAATCCGTTATTACGAGTTGTCAATCCGTTATTACGAGTTGTCGAATCCGTTATTACGAGTTATAATCTATAATAATGACTTGTGATAATCCATAATAATGAGATAAAAAAAACATATGGTTGGCCCTTCAACGCTTCCGTAATTTTGCTATCTGTTACTAAATATGATACTAAATAATATGTTAATTGACTATAAAATTTAAACAACGTGTACCAATCATAAATTATTTTAATTGCCGCAAACTTACTTTTATTAACCCATTACAGGATGTCTGGGTTATAAATTACTAATTGTAGTTGAGAGTTTATATCCATTTTAAATTACTATGGTAGAGGGTATTCAGACAAACTTAACGTTTCTTGATTCACAATAGTTTTTGAAAAAAAAAAATATTTTCCTACTTTAAGTTAGCTTAAAGAAATTAGTGTACCTACCTATTGGTTTGTTTAAGTTGAATTTAAGCTTGACAATATTTAGTTGATATGGAAGGTGTTAACAATGGTTTAAATAGTAGTAGAAAAGTAGCACTAATCACAGGAATCACTGGTCAGGTACATTAATTAAACATACCTACATCTAATGTTCATATTAAATTTTAAATTTAATTGTAGGATGGATCATACCTAGCTGAATTGTTGCTAGATAAAGGATATGAAGTTCACGGTATTATTCGGCGTTCGAGCACATTCAACACGGGTCGCATTGAACATCTCTACTTAGATCCTAAATCACATATGGAAGGTAAAATGAAACTTCATTATGGTGACATGACTGACAGTAGTTGTCTAGTGAGAATTATAGGAATGGTGAAACCTACTGAAGTATATAATTTAGCAGCTCAAAGTCATGTTAAGGTAGGCTGTTTTTGGAATTATCTTGTGAATTTCATTGCATTAATAATTTTGTCTTAGGTTTCATTTGAACTAAGTGAATATACAGCTGAAGTAGATGGAGTTGGAACTCTCAGGTTACTAGACGCCATTAGAGCATGTCAACTAGAAAACAGCGTACGTTTTTATCAAGCTTCTACTTCAGAGTTGTACGGAAAAGTTGTTGAAATACCTCAAAAAGAAACTACTCCATTTTACCCTAGATCTCCTTATGGTATTATTTTATATTAAAATTATATTTGGGTTTATTTACTTGCAAAATTTGATTTCTGGTTTTTAACCATAGTTAAATGTATTTAAAATGTTTAGCATGTGCCAAATTATATGCTTATTGGATTGTGACAAACTATCGAGAAGCATATAATATGTATGCTTGCAATGGAATTCTGTTCAACCATGAGAGTCCAAGGAGAGGAGAAAACTTTGTTACTAGAAAAATTACTAGATCGGTAGCAAAAATAGCGATTGGTTCATTGGATTGTATACAACTAGGAAACTTAGACTCTAAACGCGACTGGGGTCATGCCAAAGATTATGTTGTAGTAAGATATTTATCTTTTTTAATGAAACTACACTCTATTTCAAAGAAGTTGACCTACTCTTGCAATGAAAACTGCTTGGTGGCGTGCAGCCTCTTATGGATACATGGCAGCAGCCGTTCAAAACGAGGAGTTACATCAGTTGCCGACCACCGGTGACCAATCACAGAGTGCTTGTCATTGCTCAAGGGGGTTCAACTGTTCCAATGGCTCAGTGTACATGCCCGGAAGTGGGTCAACTTATTTGGAATAGAGTATTGCCATCAGCGTTTTACAGCCTGTAGATTCAAAAAATGTGTTTTACTTATTAGCTATGTTTTAAAAATTAATTATATATTTTCATAGTGGCAAATATGTAGCTAATATCTGATAAATTAATTTTTATTTTTAAGGCAATGTGGTTAATGTTACAACAGAATGTACCTCAAGATTTTGTGATTGCTACTGGTGAAATGCATAGTATTAGAGAGTTTGTAGAAAAATCATTCAAGCACATTGGTAAAACAATTATTTGGGAAGGAACAGGGTTGAATGAAGTGGGAAAAGAAGAATCTACCAATGTCATACGTGTGAAAGTGAATGCTAAATATTTTCGTCCAACCGAAGTTGTGAGTAGATTATTTTAATATTTTTATCTTATTTTACAGTATGATACATGATAAATTACATTTAATTTAAATAAGGGATTAAAAAGGTTTAATATTTATTAGTATCATCAGGAACTACCATAAAATGATCTTGCATCATACATCATTAGAAGTCAAACATGGAACCTTTTATATATATCAGTAGTCTTGATCACTTATTTATTATTATTATATTTTTAAACTTATTTCCTGGATTTCTTCAATTATAGAATAAGTTTAAAATTAATGAAAGTTATACTAACTATAGTGAAGAGATATGAGGCCAGAACAATTATATAAACATTTTTACTTCCTAAAATTTAAAATGTTCACGATAAAAATGCCGACGAAAGTGATACTGACTTAAAATGTACTGTTTAGAAATGTATACTTTTGATCATAAAAGGTAATAATAATCTTTAATAATATATTTGTATATCATAGTTCATATTATGGTCTCAATTTAATATAACTATGATGATGTGGTGGATTGGTAGAAGTTTGATTATATTTGGTCTTTATGAAAATAATGGTTTGAGTGTTTTATTGTAATGTACCTAGTATAAAACTCATAATTTACTTTAATAGGTAGGTTGGTACCTATTTATTTATTTTAGTATTTCATATGCCTCATACTATTTGTTATGCTAGTTATATATCAGGGGCCCCCGCAGAAAATCAGCTCAGTGAGTGCCAAATTAAATTCATGTTATATATTTACATTATTATATCCACGTAATAAACGTAACTCCAAATGTAATGCAAAAAACTATATAATACTATAAATTATAATAAAATTTTAAACATAGGTATTATTAATAATTTTGTATGATTTATGAATCAAATAGTAATGATAAACGTCTGACATTTAGTCCAAAATGATTTATAACATCAGTTTTTCATTTTTCAAAAATTATTGTGAATTAGAACTGAACTGCTTAACTTCGTATTGCACATTGTAAATCTTACCCAGGTTTTGTGTATTTGGATCATATGATTTTCTTAGCCATATTTCATACCAAGTTATTGCTTCTTCAAAATTATCAAGAAAATTACCTATAAGTTATTGATAGATTTAACTATTTCACTGAACTCTTCAAATATCATTTTTTTTTGGGTGTGAATTAAATAATGAAAATGATTTTAAATTTTTATCAGGGAATCTATCACTAATTGACATTATTATGGAATCTAAGTAGGGAATAAATAAGGATTGTCTAAAAAGTCATTAATATTATTACTTGGATATTTCTCTTCGTTGTGTTTGTCTGATAGCTCTCCGTGGTATTTGTAACTCTAGACCAATTTTAATTGCAATATCTTCTGCTTTTTTGAATATTAAGTTAAATTGACACTCACTGATACATCTATAATTTTTACAATTTGTAAAAGCTCTTGAATGCGTTTTGTGGTTACTTGTAAATAAATATTCACACTCTGAAGAATAATAGATATAAATTCAAATTTGGCTGAAGACTTTGCTATACTCGAGGCTATAATTGATAATAAAATAACAAAATTAAAAGTAGTAATTGCATTTAGAATTTCAAGGCTTTGTTGCTTAGTTTTAATGTTAAAATGTATCGGGGAGGAGGGTGTTGTTACTTGTTATCGAATATTCTCGATTATATATTTTGTACAAACATCTAAATAGAAATAATAATAATAGCCTAATTCATAGATAAATATTATTAATTATAATTAAAATATTATATATATAATATAATATATAAATATTTATTTATTTATAAATATTATTTGTGCAGTATGTAATTCACTAATGCGGGCTTTTAAGAACATGAACATGAATTTCATGTGCACAATGATTTTTTTGTTTATTAAAAAATCTCAGTGGGTACAATACTGCAATGGTTGGCACCCACTGGCCCCTCTCTGCATGCGCCTCTGTTATATATTACGCACATTTATAAATGGATTGATTATATTATAAAAACTAAATAAAATATTTGATTCTCTCATCTCACTCATGAAACAAGGATCAGTTTATTTTAGTGGTGTCAAAATAAGAGATTTTAAAACAAACTTTCTTTAAAAGTTCAAAGCAATCAATTAGATTGTATAGTAATTCAAACAAAAAACTTAAGTCAACAATAGTTTTCTTTAAAATAACTTTAATGTTTGTCTGTTTTTTGCAAAGAAAAGTAACAAGTTCTAAATAGATTTTATTTAGAAGTTTGTGTACAGGGATGCAATGCAATAACAATAGTATTATGCATGTGTGTGGAAGGTTGTTGAATACTCTAGAACTATTTTATTTTTAATATTCACATTTATATAGCTAATTAAATATTAGTTACACTTATTAAGTAAACATCTTACACATCTATTGTCAATGTGTATTTTAAAATATAATAGAATAAATTATAATATATCTTTTAAATCCTTGGTATGGGAGTCGTCTTACTAGTAATTACTAATGTTAGTAATATATTATCCCGACTACTTGTATCAGTTAAGAATTTATTGGACTATTATATTATATTCAACCATATGCTTACTACCATACTATAATATTTATGTATTACTAGCTGACCCAGCAATGCTTCACTGTTACTGGATTTGAGTGTACATTTATTATATTAAATAAATGAAATGAACACCATTTAAGTTAGATATCAATTATTGTACTTAGTTAAAATTAAATATTTAATTTAAAGGAAACTTGTTATAACAATATTTAATATGTTTTTGATAGTTATCCTGTGGTTTTTTGTTAATTTTCTTCAAAAAAATTGTAGAAATGTAATGTTTTGTTTTAATTCTTTTTATTGGAGTACTTTTAAATACACCACAATTTGTGTATCTGGTGAGTTCACAAATAAATCAGAAGTTTTTCCGATGAGTGAGCATGTCACATACAGCTGATCATGTGAGATGCATGGATTATCCAAATTGAGTCCACACGCTTGTATGAGATTGTCCCTGTGCTTTGTTGATGGTCATTAAAAATGTGATTCACACCAGAAACTGCTATCGTTTGAATTCAAATGACATGTCTATCCGAATCATTGGGAGGTGTGGCAATAATCCATATTTTATTTTAAAATTTTCATTTGGTATTCTAGCATCAATGATATTGTTAATAATCTATTTCATTGAAAGCCTGATACCGTTGTCCGTTGTAAAGTCGTGGTAGATTGATGTTTCATAGAATAATGTTTGGCAGGCCAATTTCCAATCTGTGATGGCTTTGATTTTTCATAAGTTTGTTGGCAATGTGATTCATTGTGTGGATTCATCGATTGCCATTTTTTCATTTCCAATATCTAACAATTTTTTGCAAAACGTTCAGCGGTTGCATCATGTTTCAGTTGTACACGCATATCGGTTTGTGAAATTTCACCTGATGATTATTTTTGGTATTCAAATCGGCTTGGATATGAACAAGGTGATTGGTGAGAAGATTTTTTCCAAGGATTTTGTAAGCTGCTGAATTAGTAAGACCCTCTTATATCTGTACCTAATGTACATATTGTACATATAATTTGTTTTAATAGACAATAAGCTCAGTTGTAATCATTATATTTTTTTTTATTAGAATTTTGTTCAAAAAAGGGATGAACCAATTATATTTAACCTATGTCTTCAATCGAAAGAAATGCCTCATTTTATTTGTTTGGTGTGCATTGAATGACCGGATTTTGATTAGTTGCGAGTAAATTTTATAGGGTGTCTTTGCTCATGTACCTAGTCTTTTGTATTTTTCTCAAAGATTTTTGGATTGGATGGGAATAACATTGTCAATATTATTGCGATTAACTTGTGTATTTGATAATTTAATTGCATTTATAACGGGTAGTTAACTAGTTATATGCATTCAAAGTTTATATAAACAGAGTAATATATACAAACATTTTGGTAGAAACTTAACTGTGCTCATCCAAACCTTAATATTTATAACTTAATTAATACAATGTTATACAAAGAAATTTTCAGAAGAATTGTTTGGATTCCAAAGAGATTTGCAATAAAAATCAAAATCTAATGGCGTTAAAATAGTTAAAATATATCCACACTTTATATATTTTCTTACATTATGAAAATAAATATTCAATAAAAAAAAAAGGTAGGTAAGTGGATGTCGCTCTGCTGTACAGTAGGTTACAAGTGGGTGACTGTATAATTGATTGTATTAAATTTGAATTCAATGATATAATATTATCATTGTATACAAAAAACTATTCTGAGCGGTGATAGTTTGTCTGTGTGGATATTTTATATTATATTTTTATTGTTATTAATGATTAGTGATTACTTATTAATTATTATTAATGCGGTAATTGAATAATTAAATAAATAATTGAATTCAGATTTAATACAATTCATTATACAGTAACCCACTTGTAACCTACTATACTTACCCGCTTTTTTTTGTAGCTCAAGTTTTCTTATACTATAATATGTTGTTGGCATTTTACCGGTGCTTATAAATTGTTTATTGGAGGTAATTGGTAAATACCGGTAATAAGAGCACATACCCCCTTCCATTATTGTGCCAGTGCAGACAGATAATTAAATAAAAAATGCGGTTGTCATTCAAAAATTTAAAAACTTAAGGTTTTAAAAGTTAAAAACTGTAAAAAAAATCAAATTAATAATACGAAAACATTATAAACTATTCACTTATTTATAATTTTTTTATATATCTATGTAACATATAGGGTCTATAGACTATATTATATAGATATATAAGAAATGTATAAATAAGTGTACCTATAGTTCATAATGTTTTCGTATTATTAATTAGATTTTTTTAGTTTTATTAATTTTCAATATTAAAAATTTCGTAAACATTATCTCATCGAATACCCCAGATAAGATTTATGCTGAGAGATTATGTATAACAAAAATGACTTATACTAGTAGATAATTTGTTAGAACTTGTAACATTCCAATAACTTTTAATTTATTGAGAATATTTTATCATTAATTATAAATAATCGATAGTAGTAGGTAGGTACTTATATTAATATTTAATAATAATATTGATTGCTTGGAAAACATTGTAAAAATTTGAAATGTTAGTATCGTAGAAACTCTTAACAGTAAATACAAACAAATAACTTAAAAATAACAGGTGAGTGTGATGTACCGCTCTAAATTAATTTTAGACCAGAAATCATGTTTTGAGCCACCCGAATTAGCATAGTATGTCCGTTTTTTTTTTTGAAAAATTGTTATTCCATTATTTATGTAAATGTATTCATTATTTATTTAATCATTAGTTTGACACTTTGACGTCTTGTTAGATCTTTTTTTAAGCATATAAAATTATGTACCTAATTAATTTAAATTACTTAGGTAATACGCTGCGCAGATTTTGATTTGAAACGTTTGACGTTTCAAATTTTAATTTTAAATTTTAATATTAACCAATTTTATTATTATATAATATCAATGAATATTTGTTTGAATAACTAATGGCATTTTATATGAAGGGTAGCGACCTTTGCAGGAGAGGGTAAGGGCGCAGTTGGATAAAACTGCACGAAACTATACTGTTATTATCCACGATTATATTCTGTATTATTTTTTTTTACAGTATAGTAGATTTTTTTTATATTACATGTTTCAATTTATATAATTGAACAAGAAAAAATGCATTGTTTGCAAAGGTGTTCATCTCGTTCATTGTCTGTCTGGCGTATATATAGGTATTGTAGAATGTTTGTGTTTGGCATGTGTTTATTCAAATAACATAATCGTTCGGTTTTTCAACAGCACAACAAATGAATATAATGTATACTTGTTTATTATTCCCCGGCAATATAAAAGAACATTAGCTTTGTTTACAATTTCTGCAATGTGGGGTCCCGCTTGTCATTGTAGATATATATTATTAAAAAAAAATAAAAAAAAATACATCCGCCGGGCATAAAATAACAAAGGCAATCGTCATCGTATACAAACATACGTTATACAACGTATAATATTATAATATTATATTTATATTATCGATTTTGATAAAACCTTTGGCCTAATACTATTTAAAAATCAAAAACAAAAAAACTTATACGATTTCAGGAACTCCTGTTAGGCGACGCCACCAAAGCCAAAACTGTTCTCGGATGGGTCCCCAAAGTGAATTTCGAGGTAATAAACGCCGAACGCACTTCGTAAATCCATTTTTAATATGGCGATATAATAATGTACCTATTTTAACACTCGCGTTATGCGAATATTGATTGTATTTTTCCAGCAACTGGTCTACGATATGATGGAAGCCGATTTGGCGCTCATGAAGAAAAACCCGTCGGCCTAAACTTCCTCGCCCGTGGCCCTTGCAATATCTATTTTATATTATTGTGTTACACTGTTTATAATAGACTATAGTCTATAACCCTCGACTTAGTGTGTGTATTTGATTCATTGGTGGTTTGTTATTATTGGATATATCATATATATATTTATATATTTTTTTTTTGAGGACCTATAACAGTCTATTATTTTGCACATAATTATTATACGTACGTATATATATAATTTTTATATTCTTGGACAGAGTTTGTCTTTGAACGTTTCGGGGTGGACGGCACACGTTCTATTATACAGAGGCCTCCAGCGTATAATACATAGGTATATAGCATATACCTACGACACCTCGAGTTGTATAAATATGTATTGTGAACAGATTTTATGTGTTAACTTCCTGTGGTGTTTGACTTTACGCCGCCTTTTGTTGATTATATTTATTTATTTATTTTTATTATTTTTAAAAATGAATTATTACACATACTAAACATGTCGATTGTAAAAAACAAAAAAAAACACTCCTAGTTATTGCATTTTGTGCGTTGGTGGTTGGTGCATTTATTTTGTATTTAATTGTACTCCAACGGTTTACTAATTTTGTATTTTATAATTATTTTAAAGTTTAAACAATCCAATATCAATTTATGGATATACAAGACAGTAACTGGTAATTTTCCAGAACTTTTTTAAAAAGTAGAACATTTTTAGCAGTAAATATTTACTATATTGTAGTTATAGTCTTGTATATACAGACAGACAGTGGGTACCTGTTTATTGCGATTTTTAGTTTAGAATACTTGAAAATTGATAATTAATTTGGTACTTACTGCAGTAGTTTTTATATTATAATAATATAATTATACTATAATAATATGTGTGGAACGAACCCAAAGATATACCTATTATGTGCCGTATAATATATTATTATCAGAAAGATTTTTTTTTTTTATCACACATATTTTATCTTTTATTATTATTTTTAAATAATGTTTTTTTTATTTTTTTCAGTTACCATTTTATTTTATTATATTATAAGAAAATTAATACCTATTGTAAAAAAAAATGTAGAAAATATAGTGCATTCCATAATATGTTTGTGTCTATATTACACAATGCATAATTTATGTATACAATATATATTATATACATAATATAATATACCTACCTATTATATTTGATAACATATTGATAGCTAATAATTAATAACCATGTTTAATTAAACATGATACATAATATTTTATATCCGTGTCAGAATAATGATATACTGGCTACACTCACATTTATTGTTATTTTCGATTTATGTTTTTGCACTTATTGTGTTACAAAAATAATAATTATAATAAAAAAAATATTATTTCAAACAAGTTGTTATTGTGTTTTTAGTGTATAATATGTGGGTGAACATATTAAAACAAATCTGGCTAGATTTTTGAAAGAATACATATTTTTTTTATTTTGTTATGTCAACATTTGCAATTTTAAAATAAAGCAAATTATTACATGAAATATTGAACTTATTAAAGTCACAAAATCACAATGCAACAATAAATTGTATACCTAATTATTATAATAAAGTCATTGCATATACACTTATGATTCATATTATTCATAATTATATAAAAACTAGGTATATTTTAAATTTTACAAATTTTATCTTCATATTATAATATTATATGATCAAAAATTGCAACTTACTTATAAATTTCCATAGTATTTGATTTAATAGATGTAATTGTGTACCTATGTGTGATTCATTAATTTAAATAATTTTTTTTTATTAGATTCTAAAAGAGTTATAAGAGTTAATTTCCACAAACACTGAAGCTTTATTAGTGGTCCAAATGTTTCACATTATAACAGACCATCTGCAAAGCAAATACAAATGTATTGTACTTTAGTCAGGTAGTTTTTTCGAATCTCTTAAAAGTTGTAGGTATGTCAGAAATTTCGAAAAAACGTAATTTTCATTATAAAACCATTAAAATGTTCGTATAATATAATATATAATATGACAGAAGATCAACTACAATATAATGTTTTAATTAAAAAATAATACCTAACAAAAACTGAAGTAGTCAAGTATATGGTTCTTACCTTTTTATATATATAATATATTATACGTTTCATATTTACTCTGTGGAGTTTGGGGTATTTACCTGGTGGCTACTACACTCTATTAAGGTCAGACTGTTGCCACAGGTATCCTTTTATAGAGAGCAGAAGGGTGTATTCTCCGATTTTTGTCTCCCTACAGTTTTTATGTATTTTATGCGCTGCTAGAGATATAGGTACTAGTGTAATACTCCTATATTATCTCCGGGTCATATTACCTTCTCACCGCGTCGTTTATATATGAACTTGTCCGATTGCCCTAATTATAATATATTAAATCGAAGAAAATGGTTTTTTTTTATTTGAATACGTTTCGTATACATTTTTATTCTAAATTATTTGTTGTTGTTTGTAGTATCCGATTGTATCATAAACCGGTAGGATTAAAAACAAAACGTGAGACTGATAAAATACCGGAAAACTAAAAAGTAAAATATTGCACAACCTTGCACGTCCAATTGATAATTAAATAGGTACAAAAAAAAAAAATCGCATACTTTAGTTTTCATCGTTGACCTTATTTGCTGATTAAAATTTAAAAGTGACAACAACGAAGCTTTCGTATATATTATATTATAATATACCTACGTGGACAAAATATTGTTATGTAATACTTCAAAGTGAATCGTAAGATTACTTATGTATATCAAATATTTGAATATTTGAGTTGTGGTATGTAATATTTGTGTAGGTATACTCTATACACGCTACAGGTAGGTAATATATATATATATATATAGATAGATAGGTACAAGTATTTTATAATCATTTAGACAATTTTTATAAGACGGTATTTGATTTTGTAATTTACTATTTACCTATTCACAAGTATATACATAATACATATAAACACAAATATTAATACAAATTACTGTAAACTAAGTGATATAAAAACAATCTTTTACAGAATTTTTTTTCTCTTGGTAGACGTCTACTTATAAATTATAATTATTAGTTATAAACGTTCACTGATAATGTAAAGCACACAGAAAATATTGAAGGAAAAATTCCCAATCCAGCGTTATCTAAGTGGATATATGTGCAATATGCTTATATATTATTATTTACTCGTAGGGTATGATGGTCAGTCAATTTTATTTTATCTATGTGTAGGTAGATATGCGGTAATACCTACATGGTATTACTGCATAGATGTATAGCGTATAGTGTTTTAGCCTTAGATCATATATGATCTAAGGTTATAGCGCACGGCGCACAGTGGTCTGAGAATGAATATTAGGCGGTCTTAATTGACCATTTTCAAATTTGAAAAACTCAAATTTTTTTTACACATGTTTAACCCTATATCCTGTATACAGAGTTAGAATATAGGTTCTGATGTCTATAGAAAACATTTTAACCAAAGTTATAACTATAGGTACTTGAATGCAATGAATTTGTATTATATTTGTAATTATTCTGAATTTGTGAGAAAGATATTTATTTATTTTTCTGGTCTAACAATAATTTTTTAGATTCTGAGTGAAACGATGAATGTATTGATTTTACAATGATGTGTGTTTTTTAATTTTTAATTTTTGTGTCTGTGTACACGATAAGTAGTCGAAATAATGCTTGGATTTTCAACTTCAGTATCTTGTTCGATTGGAAAGTAAATATCGTTGGTGCATTGGGGTGGTCAAAATTTAAAATTCCCAGGCCCCTAGTATATTGTTTCAAAGGCAGATGAAAAATATTAAAAATCCTTAGTCACAGTTTTTTTTATAATCATTTAAAGTTCAAAAATTGACAAAATATGGAAAAATCACGAAAATTAGCAAATTATTTTGAGTTAAGAAATCGTAAAAATTTTACTTTTTAAATCCAAGATTTGAAAATGTAATACAAGATTACTCATAAGTTTGTCTACCTTTATCAAACAAAAAATCTCTACCAGAAAGTCAAATTAAATTTTTATGAGCGTTTAAAGTTCATAATTTTACAATATTGGATATTCACTCGATTTCTCATGTAACGATTTCCTTATTTTGTTGTAATTCAAAAACGAATGACTGTAGATACATGAACATTTCACTGAATGTTTATATTAACACACCATACAATTTTGAAAATATTTTGACGCTTTTTGAGCTGTTTACGGACATTTACAGTTTTCAATTTTAGATTCTGAGTGAAACGATGAATGTATTGATTTTACAATGATGTGTGTTTTTTTATTTTTTTTTTTATTTTTTTTTATTTTTTTTTTATTTTTTTTTTATTTTTTTTTTTATTTTTTTTTTTATTTTTTTATTTTTGTGTCTGTCATCACGTTTTAGGACAGTAAAAGTGCTTGGATTTTCTTCATCAGTAGCTTTTCTGATAGGAAAGTGAATCTAGTTGGTACTTTGGGGGGTCAAAAGTATAAATTTCCCAGTAGTTTTCACAAGCGCCGGGAAAAACAACATAAAAATTAAGGAAAAACGGGAATTTTTACGCAAAATTGGTTTTCCAAAAAATCGATTTTGGTTTTTGGTGTAACTCTGAAACAAATGAACGTATATACATGAAATTTTCACTGGTTGTTTATATTTGCATTTTCTATACACGATAACATTTTCAAAATATTTTGATTTATTTTGAACTGTTTAGGGACATTTTCATTTTCCATTTTTTTTTAGTTTTTTTTCTAAAAATATCAATAAAATTTTATTTGTTGGTTGCGAAAGCTTGAAAATTTAATAGAAGGCTCCTAATATATTGCTTCAAAGGCAAATGAAAAATATTAAAAATCCTTAGTCACAATTTTTTTTTATAAGCATTTAAAGTTCAAAAATTGACAAAATATGGGAAAATCACGAAAATTAGCAAATTATTTTGAGTTAAGAATTCGTAAAAATTTTTCTTTTTAAATCTAAGATTTGAAAATTAAACACAAGATTCCTTATAAGTTTGTCT